TGTTTAACATAAGAGGGCTCGTTGTCAGCATACTGAAGATTGTGATGAACGTATAAGGCTAGTGGTGAACATGATGAGGCTTGGGTTTTAAATATTGAGGCTAGTGTTCAACAAACTAAGGTTAGAGATTAAAATCCTACGGCTGGTGTTTAACATACTTAGGTTAGTGTTTAACTTGTTAGTGTCGTAGTCCCAAATGCGGATGCATTTATTAGCCTTACAGTTGTATTAAATGCTAACGGGGTATTGCACTTTAATATAACTATATTTTTGTTTACCATTGTTTTACTTGGCTATACTTTTTTGTCCTTTTTGGTTTATCGCTCTTCATCTTTTTAATAAGCTTTGGATTTTCAAATATTTTGGCCTCGAGCATCACTGAAGAGACATTGATTGTCGAAATGCGCATCTAGTGCAGAAAATTTGGTACCGTTCATGTTATTAACATGCAGAGAGTGGTGTATAGTATGCAGAGAGTGCTTTTTAGCCTGCTTAGGCTAATGTTTAACTTCCTTTTGTTGACGTTTAGCATGCCGAGGCTAATGTGTATGCACTTGTAAGCCTTACAGTTATTTTAAATCATAGCTGCATGTTATACTACTGTATGCCTTTCAAATTTCCAACCAGTTTGCGGCTGTTTTTTTAACATAATACGACTGATGTATAACAGGCTGAGGATGGTGGTAAAAAACAAATCCTCAAATATTTAAAGGCATACAATACAGTTTTGGTCCCACGGTGATCAAAATGATAAACACATGCGGCTTTTTGTAACAGAAAAATGAAAAATCTGCTTATAACAGTATGATCTTAATTTATGTAAAAAGTCTTAGAACATAATTTTTTTTATTAAAATTTCATTATTTTGGTTAAAAAAAAACGGAATTTTTGGCTGCATATTTATCTAATCAAATAATAATTCTTCTGTGATTTTTTCATAAAAATTGGAACAAATAATCTTCAAACAGTATCAAGTCAAATGTCTTTTTTTTTAGAAAAAGGGGTCCATGTACTCGTTTTCAAGCTAATGATTAAAATCACTCGAAAATGCATCTTTTCTCGATATGTCGGCTTTCACGTCGCGAAAAATAACCTGGTGTCTTGCATGCTTGAGATGATGTTTAATATATTGAGAATAGAAATTAACTTTCTGACGCTGGTGATGAACATGCTGAGGATTGTGTTAATATACTTAAGCTGAAGTGTATAACATACTGAGACTGGTTTATAATATAGCGACTAAGGAATTAAACATTTCCAGACTGGTGTTTAAAATACAGAGGCTTTTTTGTTATAAAAAATAAGACTGGTTTTTAACATGCTGAAGCCAGTGTTTAAAAAATCGGCCGAAGCTTGGTCGTTTCATATGCTTTTGATATGATACTTGAGTTTGTCTATCAATTTCACAACCAATTTGAGACTGGTGTCTAAAATGCACAGCCTGGTAATATACATGCTTATACTTGTGTTTACCATACTTAACCTTGTGTATTACATACTGAGGTTGTTTGTTCACAAACTGAAGCAGCAATGTTTCATAATGAGCCTTGTGTTGTACATGCTCAGAAAGGTATTTAACATTTTGAGAAATCCCTGATGTTTAACAGGCTAAGGATGGTTTTAACTTTTCTAAGTTAAAATGCTATCATACTGAGGCTGATGTTGTGCATGGTGCGACTGGTATTTAACACAATGAAGCTTGCTTTAACCAATTAAGGCTTGTGTATAACATACAGAGACATATGTTTGACAAATTGAGGCTATTGTTAAGGACACAAAGCTGGTGTTTGACATACTGAGACTGGTGTTTTACATACCGAGATTGATGTTTAACAGCTCAAGCTGGTGTTCTGCATACTGAAACTGGTGTTTAACATTCCAAAGGTGGTTACCATACGGACATGAGGCTGTTGTTTTACGCAATGAAGATAGTGTTGATCATACTGAAGCTAATGTTAACTAAAATGAGCCTAGTATTCCACATTCTGAGGCTGGTGTTTTACACATTGAGGCTAGAGCTTAACCTTCTGAGTTAGTTTGTTTAACATAATGCAGCCAGTGTAAACATATTAAAATAAGTGCTGAGCTTTTATGTCTCAATCAAATGCGTTACCTAATGCGAATTAACAATTTGCTGAGTATGGAGTTTAACCTGCTAAAGCAAGTGTTCAAAATACTAATCCTGGTGTTAAACAAACTCAAACAAGTTTATAGCATACTGAGGCTAGTATTTTTTATGCTGAAGCTGTGCATTTATCCTAATGAAAAAGGTGTTGTAGATGCTAAGCGTCATGTTGAACATATTGAGGACGATGTTTTCATTACTGAGACTGATGTTTAACATGCTGAGGATGGTGTTTAAGATACTTAAGGTAAAGTGTTTAACAAACTGAGGTTGGTGTTTAACATATATATATATATATATATATATACGTATATATATACAACAGGGTTTAAGAAAATCCGTTGTTCGACCTTTTAGTCAAATACGTTTTGTTTAAATATACTTTTTCACTTGTTTGGTCTTTTGGAAAATGTTGTTTGTGCTGTATTTAGAACCCTCTACCAAGAAATTTGTTTTGCATGCACACGTATAAAAATTGCGGTTTTTATCCAACGCAATCATAGGTTTGAACGTTGTTTTTAATTTAGACTTGGTTATATTTTTTCGTTTGGGCTTGTATTATATTTGCCTTCGGGTTTATAGGATCCGTTCATCCTATTTCGACTCTTCAAAATTCAAGTGTCTATCCTAAATTGAGGTAAATTATATGTCCTTCCAAATACCGTTTCGATTCCTAACATCACTGAAGAGACATTAATTGTCGAAATCCGGATATGGTGTACTAATTTTTGCATCTCATGTTTGCGGTATACCATCTTTTCCGCAAGTTTATTGTTTTCTGTTTGGTATTTAATTCATAATAAAGGTCCATTTTGTTACATCTTGTGATCCATTTATTTGGCAATCGCCAATGGCAGTCAGCAGGGTTTAAGAACATCCGTTCTTCGAACTGTTAGTCAAATGCGTTTTGTTAAAATATACTTTTTCACTTTTTTTGGTCTTTTGAAAAATATATATATATAGAGTTTAACCTACTTAGACTTGGGTTTAACATACTGCAACTTTTATTTTACACAATGAGGCTATGGTTTAGCATGTTGATGCGGACGTTCAATATAATGAGGCTACTGTTCAACATCCTGAGGCTGTTGTTTTTTCTCCATATTCAGGCTATTGCTTAACTTACTGAAGCTAGTGTTGAACATACTGGTGGTGCTCACCATAATGATGCTGTGTTAAAACAAAGTCTTAAACGGAATTCGATACAATTACAGTGGAGGTAATTTAAACGTTATTTTGCGCTACATCAAACTGTGACAAATCAAGAAAAGATGCATTTTGCGACTGCTTTTAATTATTTGCTTGAAAACGAGTACATGACTCCCTCTTTTTCAAAATGGCATTTGGCTTGATTACGAATGAAGTTTATTTGTATCAATTTTTCATAAATAAATCACCGATAATTCAATTGAATTTTTAAGTAGATAAATATACAGCATAAAAAGGCGTTATTTCCCTTTTCAAAATAAAAAAATGTGTTAGACAAATTGAAAGCATACTTATGTATAGATAATATTTCAAATGTTTCGTTTTAAATTCGTTTGTGTTTATCTTTGAAACATACAAAAATTGGAATGTCTGTCCAAAAGATAGAAGTGTCCAAGAAACCGATATTTTGAGTAAATGTCTAAAATGTTAATATAAAAATATTTAGGTGGTATAATTGCTTATGAAAAAACAATCCACCAAAGACCAAATAGAATAGCAATGTTCAGCTATAGGTCACTGTATGGCCTTCAGCAACGGGCAAAACCCACATCGTATAATCAGCTATAAAAGGCCCCGAAATGACCAAATGTTAAACAGTTCAAACGAGAAAACAGGCGGCCTGATTTATTAACAAACCAATGAACGAAAAACAAAAATGATATACAGCAACAAACGACAACCACTGAATTACAGGCCTCTAACTTGGGACAGGCACATGCAGAATGTGGCAGGGTTAAACTAGTTTGGAAGCGCCAAATAAACTCCCTAACATGAGACTGTGGGGTAACAGTACAACACAAGAATGATGGTCAGTGTATATTTAAAAGTAGCACATGAAGGTTTCTTTTTACATATTTGAACTCACTAGGTAAAAAAAGGCTTATGAGCAAATGTTTGTCAAATAATCACCGTAGGATCTAAATTGTAATGTATGCCTTTAAGAATGCCTAGCAATGTTTAACCAGTATGATATAAACTTGAGGAAATTAAGTTCAAAATACTAAGGCTAGGGTTTAACATGCTAAAACTGGGTTTTAACATGATAATCCTGGTGTTTAACATGCTTAGACTGGAGTTTAACAATCTAAGATTCAGTTTGCAATAATGCCAGAAAAGGATTGGCAATGCCCATTTAGTCATTAAAGTTAACCAAAAGCGAAACATTGATGTGGGCATCCTTTTATTTATCTCCATGTAGTGTTTCACTGATAGGTAACGAAGAATGAAACGTATGTCACATTATACAATGTAAAGATACACAACAATACAAAAGACAACCACTTTGTCCTAAATTGAGACAGGTCCACCTGTTTTGATTGAACCAAAAAGTCATTACCGGAAACATATATTTGATAATTTAGTATCCTAATATTTTCAAAATCATGCTTTTTTAAAAATTATTATAAGATTCTAAAGATAACTGACGTTTTCTTCCAAGCCCACTACCAATTCTAAGTTCTAACACCACGATTTTTTTTTAATTGAGTTTAAATTTGTATAGTGCTATTGAATTAATTCTTAACTGTGTCAATATGAATTCAATCTCTGGTGTCTATGTCATTTACGCAGCGACCTCCAATTAGGGAAATACCATCTGTGTGATGAAGACATAGGTCACAGTCGTTGATTTTATACAGTTATATTTTGCTTTATAATGCATTCTTACCTGGATCAATAAGAATCCACTCTCTGGTGTCTATATCAAGGCCACATCGACCTTCTAATAGGGAAATCCCATCTGTAGCAAGTCTTTCATCTGGGACAGCATCACCAACTAGGAGCTTTACAAGCGTAGATTTTCCGACTCCAAACTGACCTGTGACCATACAGCGCATGTCAAACGAATCATACGTCCCCTGGCCTAGCAATCGGTTTAACATGACAGATTGTTCTTTTTTCTGGATGAAATCTTTATAAAAAAAAATGCACATACTTAATTAGATTGTGCTGCTTATTTCTCATCTTAGTAGATTTAAAAAAAAACATCATCATTATAGTGTTTCTTTTTTATATTTCATATAAACTTTCGCTGATTTGACATTCTTTTTGTGTAAAAAGTGTCCATAATGTCAACTAGTAATATTTCCTCCTTTAAAAAGTGTCTTTTGGCGAAAATGAAAATATACTTTTTTTGAATAAGTTCTTGAGACCATAACACAGATCAAGTATTTTTTATAATGGCTACCATATAGAACTGTAAGAGTCAATATGTCATAAAAAGAACATATTTTTCCATTGATACAATTAATGGAAGAGAAAATGGACGAAAAAAATTGGAGCTTTCCACCTGCTTATCCACTGTACAGTCACAAATCAATGACCGAATTTCCGTTGGAAAATTCGGTTAACAATTAATTTGAGAGTATATTCAGTTACATATTATGTCTAGTTTCTGATGACCAGGTGTACTTATTTCGAGGCTACACATAATTTTACATCAGGTTAAAGTTTCGACATATACATGATATATTTTGCATTGTACACCTGGTTTGCATGTGATTCACATGTGTCACATTTTGTATACTGGATAGAATGAAAGTAAACCTAAGACCTAGAATACCTATATCATCTATGAGAAATATACATAATACATCTTTCTAGCGCAGATATATGTCATAGTAGTAGTGGATTGCTATAGTTTTATACCATTACTTTACAAGATTATAAACCATTGAGGAATTTTAATTCTCCTACTCTTTTATATTACCGAATGAAAATGTTTTGAAACAGAGTTTTCTCAAGACAAAGAATAGATTTAGATATAAGAATTGATGAAATTTAAATGTTTTTATCATTGAGGAATATTTCGTTAAAAGAAAATACTTTATAGTCTGTTAAAGTCATTTACAACTTTTGCAACGAGCATAACACTGTAAAGGCAAGGGTATATGTTGAACTAAAATGCTTTGGTATGCTGAGAGTTTGTTGCCTTATTGAAAAACTTCCAAAATTTACTTTTATTTATATAAAAAATCCAACCTTCAACTACTGGTGTTGCCCCTTTTTCTTGCAAGATTCCTGGGGTCACTTCTTGGTCTTTCTTTGACATGAAAGTCTACAACACAAAAAAATATTTGTTTTTCTATATATTGCATGTAATATTTTTAAAAAATAGTTGATACATTGTATACTATCACACAAAATAAGAGGCTCTAAAGCGTGTATTCAATTTACCATGATACTACACAAATGAATAGTATGATGGGTCAAGTTAATTCAACTATTACAATGTATTAGAGTCAAATGTAATACAGTTAAGAGCAATATAGAAATCACAGATACTACCACATGCAGAAACTGCATGATCATTATTGTGTTTCTTAAGCATTGATAATGATGATTTTACATGTGTGCCATAGTTCAAAGGCGGTGTATATGTATGAACTGGGTTGTTTTCTCTCCAATATTGTTTGGTGCTATTTACTGAAATGTAAAATACATGACGACAACAGTGTAATGCAATGATGACTGTAGAATCAGACCGTACCTGAATGGTGTCTGTTTTTTTTATTTCAATATGAGTCAGGTGCTGACCTGAATCCTTATGTTAAGATAAACAAACAAATCAAACCGCAAGTAGTTCTATCACTTGTGAACCGAATGAAAAAGTAAATTCATATAATTAAGGGTTATAACTGCGTAATTTAAAAATAAGAAAATAAAGTTTTGGTGAAACTCGCTCCTGTTTTGGACCCAAAACATTCCATTATAATTCCTATCTCCTTTTTATAATCCATAAACCACAAACAGACACACAGACAGACAATCATAAAGACAGACAGACAGATAGATAAACAGACAGGTGGACATGGTGATCCTATATGACCCCACTTTTTTTGCTGGGATATGATAACAGTAACTGCATCTTTGTTCAAGGGATGAACTTAATGGTTGTGAATATTATGATTTGTTTGGTTCACCTCCGTCGCACTAATACCTTTGGATTAATGTTGGTTCGCTGATGCTATGTACATGTACACAAGGTCAATCATTTCAAAATTATTTACAAACATGTACATATTTTGATTGGCATTTATATAATATAAATGTTAGTGTTTGTGCTACTTGAGTTACATAATTTTTGCATATTTCTTAAAAATCACAGTTTATAATATATACAACAATCTCGACAAACTATGTAGTTTTTGTTTTTATAATCTGAGTAAATTTATGGACTAGAACTGTGGGTGAACTCACAAAAGCAGACCCCCTACTCCCACAATACCATTGTACATGTAGTATATCGAAGAGAGTACATTGATTATATCCCCTTTCAACATGTTGGAATGGCGTTATTTTCAAGAAATAAAAAAAAGTGACCATCTTTTTTAATAAATTGTTAATCAAAATTATCTAATCAATATATAAATAAACAAACATCTTATATACATGTAAATGCTTAATAAGTATATATACGGGATATGCTTCCCTGCTTTCCGTGCGTGGTTAGCCTGACATCTTTTTCAATATTTTTAGTTATGTACATCATCTATGTGCCAATAGGACAAGTTTCACAAAAGAACATATGGTTGAAGCAGAATTCATTATGATATAATTAATTGTCTTAAATAAAGGCAACGGTAGTATACCGCTGTTCGAAATTCATAAATCGATTGAGAGAATAAACAAATCCGGGTTAAAAACTAAAACTGAGGGAAACACATTAAATATAAGAGAACTACGACACAACAGAAACACAACATTAAAATGTAACACACACAGACACGAACTATAATATAACAATGGCCATTTTCCTGACTTGGTACAGGACATTTTAAGAAAAAAATGGTGGGTTGAACCTGGTTTTGTAGCTAACCAAACCTCCCGCTTTTATGGCAATGTTAATCCTAAACAGCGATTTAACAAAAAAATATCTTTCCATTGTTCCTATGCTCTGTTGATATTTAATATTTATCATTTCTAGCAGAATATATTTTCAACTATTTAAATCATAATCGTTTGTTTCTTTTCCTAAAAATCCTGTCAGTTTATCAGAAATACCAGTAAATACTTGTTTCCCCTGATCATGTTAATGCCAATACCTTATTTACTACTTATCGTTATTATTTTATTGTCATCGATTCTGTCATCAAGACAAGACTCTAAAAAACAAGGTTCGATTTTGGGCCACATTGTTCTTAAAATTAATTGTATTTGAAATTTTCTGAAATTGAAGGAATCAAACTTTAGATCTATGCACCCTAATTGAACATCGCAATTTGTTTTTGCCAGCCATGTATTATGAAGCCTTCAAAAGGTAGGAAGAATTAATTAACAGTGCGATTTTGCCCCAAAAATGCGTCAATATGACTCGCATCCGGAGCCATACAACGTATATGATGACTGTATAATTATGGATCTAAAAAATACAATGACATATGTCTATTCATTACAAATCTTTCCGATTTGTCCATTGAAAACAAATTCTTAAAAAGACGACAACTAAATTTAAATATAGAAGTAGAGAGATGTTTTATGATGGTCAACGTGACAAACATTAATCAGAGACATAGGGAAGAGAATGCAGAAACATATAGGTCATCGTACGCCCGTAAAAAATGAGCAAACCAATATCATAAAGTACATAAGCTATAACAGGTCACAGCATGACAACATGTTAAAAAAAAAGAAAAACCAACGGCTCGACTATTGTTTGATTGTTTTTGCAAGAGATAATTGAAAGAAATATATCACGTTTAACATGTCTAGCTTAAAGTGCAATTGTTGATAGTACATTTTATAATTTTATCATTGTTTAATCAAGACATGTTCATTGGTAAATTTCTCCAAACAAAAAAACCAAGGACTTATTATTTTGAAGAAGAAATTTATTTTATAAGTAAGAATACAGATTTTAAAGAAAATTTAATTCCATGTGATTATGATACTGCAAAAAGATATTGATATTCAGTATATATACATACTATGAATAAATGGGGATGTCTGGAGAACATCAATGAGACATTACCAAAAAGACAAAAATTACCAAAAATTCCTACAGACACACACGCGCTTACACTTTAACTGAATATATGTGTGACAAGAATATAAAGCTCTTTAGACGTTTTGAAAAGTTCAATGTTTTGCTAGCAAGAAATTATCGTCTGACCGATGCGAAAAACGATCGCACATTACGACTATCAAGTTGCTGACTATATATTAAGCAATTGTTAGTGAAGTGTCTGACAAATGTGACACTAATAATTTTGAATGAATGGATGGACAGACTGACAAGGTAAAAGCAATATAGAGCTCTATCCTAAAAGTGGTGTAAAGGTAGCAATCGATTTCGACTATATAAAAATTACAGTATAAAAATGTGCGTTTCTCAAAATATTAAAAAAGGCAAATACTGTAAAGCTTAACTGCACTCTCAATTCAAAATGTCTTCCAAAGAAAGCATGTTTGCTTACTTCTAATGGGGTCCTTTAATTGTATATCGATTAGATTATAATCTAAATATTTAAGACATGTAAGAAACGGCATGGCATTAGTTTAACCTAAATCACAAATACAATAATCAATTTAATTATTTTTCAGATGTTGCTTTACTGAAGCTTTTTAAAAGGCGTTCCATCATGCATGGGTATATTTGATTCGGATGCGCATTTAATTTTTAAAAGTATTAAAAAATGCGTTTAACTTTAGGAACATCGAGATTTAATATCAAGCGTGATGAAGTGAAAGATCCGTGTTTTATTTCGACTTTTCCTAAATTTATTTTAAATGATTAAGAAAAATATAGCTACTAGAATGATACACCTCTGTAGATACAAACTTTGAGTTAGCGGTTTGTGTGCTTTGATGATCATGTTTACTATTTATCTATGTATAATAATGTATAAAAAGCCTCAATACCAGAAGATGAACGGTTCATAAATTCATACATTATCTATAATCATAATATAGATTCGGCGAAAGATTAATGATATTGCAAGAAGTTTTGACTATGTTATTTTTTCGACTTTTCCTAAATTTATTTTAAATGATTAAGAAAAATATAGCTACTAGAATGATACACCTCTGTAGATACAAACTTTGAGTTAGCGGTTTGTGTGCTTTGATGATCATGTTTACTATTTATCTATGTATAATAATGTATAAAAAGCCTCAATACCAGAAGATGAACGGTTCATAAATTCATACATTATCTATAATCATAATATAGATTCGGCGAAAGATTAATGATATTGCAAGAAGTTTTGACTATGTTATTTTTGCCCCCCCCCCCCCCCCCCCCCCCCCCCAAAAAAAAACAAAAAACTTTAACACTTTTGAAAAAAATAAAAAAAATACTTTTTTAACAGTTTTCTCCAGACATTGTCTTGTGATCACGAAGAATCATCTTTCCAGGTTTCGTAAAATTCTATGAAGATTAGGAAAAGCGATTGATGTCTTAAAAACTTTTAATGACAACGGAATGACCCTGAATGTTGACGACACAGACAGAATGTAAAAAAAAACAAAAAAAACTTCATATTATCTAGAATATAATCAGGCTTATTTGCAGGCCACATAATGTGTATAAGGTCCGTTTTGGTCTTTAGTGCAACCCATCACCGCATACGTTATACCAAATTTAATTTCAAAACATCCTGTTACAATATGCATCGAGAATATTGTAAAAGGTATGATGAAAATTAAACGGAAATACAACATGTACAGCAGAAGAAAGTAAAACATGGGCATGTGATAAAGGATTGTCAATGTCAATTGGCGATGGCATTTGATTTCGATATAGCTTTTGTTGATTACAACTTTATAAAGTATCTGTATCAAAGTCCTTCATGAATAGCGAAGGTGGCAGACTTGAAAAACACAATATCCCCATAACTTATTAGATATTCAAATTTGAATCAATCTAATGAAAATATTTTATGACAGATCTTTGACCGCTTCTGTCGTTTGTATAATAACTTGTCAAACTTGGTGATTTAGAGATAGACAATACACTCTAGCCATGTGTATTGTTGTGTGATACAGCATTTAGTCGTTTGTATAATAACTTGTCAAACTTGGTGATTTAGAGATAGACAATACACTCTAGCCATGTGTATTGTTGTGTGATACAGCATTTAGACCTTTATTTGATTGATTTATTTTTCTATAATTTTGCTTTTGTTTTCTATAACGTCATTATTTTAGAATTAGGATCAATTAGCGCTTTTCCTGTACTGATGTGTATTGTATGTACTTCTATGTACATTTTCGTGTTAAAAGTTTCGAGTTATGGTTTAAAAAGGGGTTGGTTCAAATGGCAAACAAATAGTATATGAATGTGCGGCCCCAAGTAAAAACACTGTGTAAGTGATTGTCTTGCCATATCATGTTATTCCTCGACATAACAGAGTCTCTGGTGCACCTCAAAGAAATTCACGATGACAAACATGTTTTTTATTAGCTTGCACATCATTTGAAAATTAGAGAAAGTATATGCATTCTAAGATTAACTCACTCTGTCCCAATTTTGAGAACTTGATTACTAGTCACATACTCATCTTGCTACTTAATGCAGAAAGTTATGATATATCATGCTTTGATAACACTAACGCAAATTTGCAGATCTAAGGACATCGACCACCGAAAGCTATAGTTTTATGTAGCCTAGGTGGTTGAGTGGTCTAGGGCGCTGGACACGGTGCAGGCGGTGTTGCCTCGATGTCAGAGACGCAAGGGTTCAAACCTTGCTGAGGGAAGAACAAAAATTTGCTAACGCATTGTTGGGCTAAATTTGAGACGCATTATATATATATGTTGATAGCCCTGTATAACCACGTGTTATTTGAGGGAGAATATCTGTCATAAAGTTGTCACATGCTTAGACGTGTATAATGAAATTAATATATGCTTCCGCAAATTTGCAGATTTAACATTGTTGTGCTGATATTTAGAGTAGTTATGAACATAATATGTGTTTTCAGTCGTGTATCACCTTCTCTTGTGATCCAATGGATGGATCTGTCGTAGAGTTGTCACTTGTTTAGACGTACTTATCAAATAATTATTTCTGTGACTGCATCTTACGATCCTTTACGATAGATAATTTAGCTAATCTGCAATCAATTCCATCTTCATGCCTAATATATCATGTACTGTGTTACAACTCTAGATTTATTGACAACGAAAGATAACACTAGGCCACCGAAAGCTGAATTTTTAGTTCTGTCTAGGTGGCTGAGTGGTCTAGAGCGCTGGACACAGTGCAGGCGGTGTTGTCTCGATCTCCCAATAGCATGAGTTCGAATCCCGGCGAGGGAAGAACAATAAAATTTTCTTCCGCAAATTTGCAGATTTAACATTGTTGTGCTGATATTTAGAGTAGTTATGTATTAAGTATATATATAAAATGACTGAATAATAGCCAACGATAAATCTTACGGGGCGATGGATCATATAAATATGATACAGTACACTACAAAATATAATATATAACCAGTCTAAAAGGGTACAACATCACCAAAAAATAACAATAAACGAACAAATGTAACTATAAATATTTCGGATAACAGATATCCTTCATCAGTATGAGCACGATGTAAAATGAATCAGATCAATCTAGTATTCTGATTATTAAACTATAGCAATCTTGAATTCTATACAATAAAAAAAGTGAAACGGTTTCACCCGAACATCATATGTAGAGACGCTAATAAATTTTAAAAATTTCTAAAAAACGACTCAAAGACATGCCTAAAATGAAAATAGTAATTAGAGATATGAACTGGCACAACTCTAAAATTCCAACATGACGTCAGTTAAGATGTTACAACAACTGCGTATAAATACATTCCCAAAAAAACAGCACTGATCGATATAAGCTGGTAAAATATGTCAAACAGAGGCTGCGTATTTATCATCCCAAATGAATAGCAGTTTTATAATGAAAAGAAAAAATAATAATTATCGGTAAAGTAATTACAACAGATGCTGCGTATTTAAACATCCCAAATAAATAGCAGTTTAAAAAATATAATAATAAATCCGACTAAGGTTAAATAGTTGAACGTGACTGGGTACTTTTACATCCCTCCAAAATGAATAGAACCAAGCAATTTAAACTGATATAATTACAAATTTTTTTTAAGAGTTGAGTAAGGTAAAGAAATAGAAGCAGAGACTGTAGTAATAAGTAATATAACCCAAATGTAAAGCACTGCGCGAATTCAAACTACATCTTTTCATTTATCCCATTTGGTGCCAAAGTTTTTAATTTTCTTATCCAAAATCTTTCCCGAGTGAGTCTATCCTCCCTAGACCATGCAGTGTTGTGGTTAATGATTATTTGGAATGTTTATTGACGCAATCGTTCTTGTAACATCGTAACTGTCGTCACCTTTTAAATTTTAGAATTGCGCCAGTTCATATCGCACATTACTATTTTTATTTGAAGCATATCTTTGCAGTCTCTGTTGTAAATAGCTATATAACCTATGTCATATTTAAAATCTTTAGAATTGTACAAGCGTCTAAACTATGATGTTCGGTTTAACTGTTTCATTGTATAAATTTCAAGATTGTTATATTTTTAATCATAGTAGATTGATATGATTCATTTAACATCATAATCATACTGATGAAGGATATCTGTTATCCGAAATATTTATAAATAATTACATTTATAGTTTCTTTTTTTTTTTGTTATTGGTGTCGTTTTGTACACTTTTTAGGCGTTTATATATATATATTTACATTATGGTGTTAGCCCTGTATAACCACAGGTTGTCTGATGGAGAACGTCTGTGGTAAAAATGTCACGTATTTAGACTTGTATATATATATATAAGAGTCTATAAAAAGGACCAACCAGCAAATTTACTATGTACCGGATCGTCTAGAATAGACGATACTGTGCAGATAAGGAAAAAAATATATAAGTCTAGAGATTTGCACAACGATACTAATATAAGATGGTATTATACGAAGATGTTGTTTTTAAATCATGTTGACAAATATTTTGGCTTAACAAATAGCCTTCTTCAGTGTCAATAATTTTAATAATATTGATTATATGTATAAAAATAGCTCAATAATACAGGTAAGTTTTGGTCTATTGATTTAATCCAAAATCCTGAACATCATAATATTAAACAAAACTCAATACTCAAATATACGTGACTGTGTATATTTACATCCTAAAATGTGTGAAGAATAAAACTTAGTATTTTTTATTGATGCCGTTTGGATGATGTACATTTAGTTCCTTTATCCAAAAGCTTTCCCGAACCTGTCGCTGGGCATCACTCCAGTGAATGTTCTGTTCAATCACTAGGATCTTCATGCGGTTAAAGTCATCAAGTTTGTGACCAGACTGTCTGAAATGCTGAGAAACTGGGAGAAGTAGCTTCTTAGAGATATCATTCCTATGACCATTGAGGCGTTTGTTGAAAGGCTGCTTTGACTCACCAACATATTGGAGGCCACAAACCGAACATTCTAGAATGTAAATAACATTCATACTTTTGCAGTTAACATTGCAAAATATCCTATAGTTATTTTCGGTTGCCTTACTGTGAAAAGTTGATGAGTGATGCATCTGTAGGCAGCATTTGCAGCGTTTTTCATCACACGAACGACATTCTCCAGAAGTACTTCTATTATCAGACACTTCAGCCCGCACCAGCAGGTTCCGCAGACTATTGGGTTGCCTTAAAGATATCATGGGAGGCTCGGGGAAAATCTTGGATAGTTTGGAATTCTTTTCAACTGTTGTCCAATGCTCACTGAAGAGACATTATGTGTCGAAATCCGGATATGGTGTACAAATTTTCGCACCTCATGTTTGCGGTATACCATCTTTTCCGCAAGTTTATTGTTTTCTGTTTGGTATTAAATTAATAATAAAGATCCATTTTGTTACATCTGGTGATCCGTTTATTTGGCAATCGCCAATGGCAGTCAGCAGGGTTTAAGAACATCCGTTGTTCGACCTGTTAGTCAAATGCGTTTTGTTTAAATATACTTTTTCACTTTTTTGGTCTTTTGGAAAATGTTGTGTGTGCTGTATTTAGACCCCTCTACCAAGAAATTTGTTTTGCATGCACACGTATAAAAATTGCGGTTTTTATCCAACGCAATCATAGGTTTGAACGTTGTTTTCAATTTAGACTTATTTATATATTATATATAAATATATATAAATGTATAATTTTCTATGTGATGCCGTGTACAATTAGGCATGCACTTTAATAATGTTGTATCGCCTATTGATAGGTCATGTAACAAGATGTATTGCCCTTTGCATAAGGTACGATGATGAGACGTCAGTAATGTTCGTCTCATCATAATACCTAACCAAATTACTGGTGTCGATCCACATACATATGCCACGTGAATCTATGACCCTTATTACATTTTGCACCGTCCCTTTGTGACATTTGCAATTGGGTTGCAAATCAACTCGTTTGTAAATTAAAAAAAAAAACTTTGTAGGGTGTGACTAAGATGGAGAATTTAAACTTGAGTTAAACTTGAGTTAAACAATTAAATATTCAGGCAAAGTTGAGTCTAGACGGATTTGACTTTTTAGGCATTTTTTATGTCCTAGGGTTTGTTGTCTAAAATATAATGTCCAATAATGTACTGAGCCCAGTAATAGAAATAATCATGTTCTTTTTCGTCTCCTTTCTTACCTATTTGTAATATAGTTATCATACTGGTAAATAAAACATCACATGTACCTTCAGGTAGTCCATTACTTTTTTCTTCATATCTTTTATGTATCCCCTGTTATACCTGTCTTCTTTTGCTGCCAGATGGTATGGGGTCTCACCCTGCAATATAATAAGGGAAAATGAGCTATGAAATCATTATTGCTCCACATTCTGGCATCAGAATAAACCAGATATCGACATGCTTATATAATGTTAAGTACCTTTTTCACAGACAAGTGCTTACGAAATTGAGATAAAATAGAATGCTATACATGTACAGTGATAATCAACAGCACACAAATAGTTATATTACATTGACCCTAAACTCAAAAGACTAAACAGCCGCATATGAATATGTAGTAGATTGCAATTTGTAATCTAAAAGTATGTGATGTTAATTCTCTGCGCCCCCCTCCCCCCCCCCCCCCCCCCCCCCAAAAAAAAAAAAAAACAAAACAAAAAACAAAAAACCCGCCTGATTACAGTGTGTCCCATTTTGTCCATTTCACAGATTCACATTCGATGTAAAATGACATTTTGTCAACAAAAACTGAGGGTACGTGCCAAAAAAGATTCGAAACTGGCTTTGTTACAACACAAAAAGCTTTTTATAGAAACTTAAACTACAATTTGAAATGAAAATTGTTCAAATCAGAAACTTGATGTCTTTGTTGTCTTATTTGTATTGTTGTGTTACTTGCTGCCGTACACCATTGTGCATAATGTCGATGAAGAAGCTTATATACTTTTTTTGTCAATATAAAAAAGAAGATGTGGTATGATTCATTCCAGAACAATAGTCTGGTAAAATAACAATAAATCGTGTTTCTGATATTAATTCGTGTCATTGATCTATTTTTGTAGTAAAGTATTTTAGCTATATATTTTAGGATCTAGATTATAAGTGTCTTATTGCACCATATTTTTAACATGAACACATGTATTTGCACGTCTCAGTATCTGAGTAAGCATTCGTAAAACTATTTGCGCGACAAACTATACGACAAACACTGCTACAGACCTTCCGAAATTCAAATTGACAAATTTTTCGTGCATTCATCATGCACTGTCAATTTTTCGTTCGTGTTCCTTTAATGCATCGTTCATTCTACAAACGTGTTGCTTTCACTCATCGTTCATTCTGCGTATGTGTTCCTTTCAGTCATCGTTCATTCTGCGTACACGTTCCTTTCATTCATGTCCAGTATGTGTACTCGTACCCTTAATTCATCGTCCATTCTCTTTGCGCGTTCCTTTCACTTATCGTTGATTGTTGGTACGCGGTGTTTTTCATTCATCGTCCATTCTGTAGTGTTCCTTTCACTCATCGTCTATCCTGCGTACATGTTCCTTTCATTCATCGTCTCTGCTGCATACGCGTTCCTTTCATTCATCGTCGATTGTACGCACGTTTCCTTTCATTCATCGTTCATTCTGCGTACACGTTCCTTTCACTCATCGTCCATTCTGTATACGTGTTCCTTTCATTCATCGTTCATTATCTAGTTTTGATTTAACTCGTCGTCCATTCTGCGTACTTGTTCCTTTTACTCATCGTCCATTACTTAGTATCTAGTTTCGCTTTCACTAATCGTCCATTTTGCATACGTGATCTTCACTCATCGTCCATTCCTTGTATGTATAAAGAAGAAGATATGGTATCTTTGCCAATGAGACAACTCTTCACAAGAGACCAAATGACACAAAAATTTACAACTATAGATCACTGTACGACCTTCGACAATGAGCAAAGCCCATACCGAATAGTAAGTTATAAAAGGCCCCGAAATTACAAATGTAAAGCAATTCAAACGAGATAACTAACGGCCTAATTAATGTACAAAATAATGAACGAAAAACAAATATGTAACATGGCAACAAACGGCAACCACTGAATTACAGGCTCCTGACTTGGAACAGGAACATTCACGTGTTTCTTTCACTCATTACATATGTTCAATCTACGTACATGTTCCTTAAAATTATCGTATTTTCTGCAAAAGTGTTCCTTTCACTCATCGTACATTCTGCGTGCATATTCCTTTCACTCATCGTACATTTTCCGTACGTGTTTTTTCACTTATCATATATTCTGCATACGTTTTCCTTTCACTCATCATCCACGCTGCGTACGTGTTCTTTTCATCATCGTCCACTATGTGTACGTGAACTTTTAACTCATCGTCTCTGCTGCATACGCATTCCTTTCATGCATCGTCCATTCTCTTTACGCGTTCTTTTCAATCATCGTCGATTGTACGTACGTGTTCCTTTCATTGATCGTCCGTTCTGCGTACACGTTCCTTTCGTTCATCGTCCATTCTCTAGTGTTCCTTTCACTCGTCGTACATTCTGCGTGCATGTTGCTTTCACTCATCGTACATTTTGCGTACGTGTTTTTTCACTTATCGTAGATTCTGCATAAGTGGTCTTTTCATTCATCGTCCATGCTGCGTATGTGTTCCTTTAACTCATCGTCCACTATGTGTACGTGTTTCTTTCACTCATTGTCCATTCTGCGTACGTGTTCCTTTCACTCCTCGTCCATTCTGCGTGCGTGTTCCTTTCCCTCATCGAACATTCTCCGTACGTGTTTCTTTCATTCATCGTACATTCTCCGTACGTGTTTCTTTCACGCATCGTACATTCTCCGTACGTGCGCGTATCATTCATTGTTCCTTGTGTTTTCAATTCAAGGTGCGCTCAAATGTGCATTCATCTTAAATCGTAAAAAGTGCGATAATTGTGCGTTTATCCTTAATCGCGTAATTTGCACTTAAAATATGTTCAAAGTAAATCAGCTGATATTCAATTTGTAACTTTTATGATTGTTATCATGCCAGTTGAATATACCCACTAGGTAATAATTAAAAAACATCTTTTGAATTACGAGATATTCTAAGAGTATTAATGTTCTTATAATACTTTAATACACCAGAGACATTGTATTATATACGTATATTGTATTGTTATAAAGAATAGGTCAACTATTATGTTCATTCTGTTTATTAAATAAAGTTATTTATTTGCATTACATTTGAAAAAGAAAAATATCAAATCTTCTGTTTTACATTTTGTTCTATAAACTTTACTTAAGTCTACAATTGAAAGGGTACTTATCAACCTACTATATAATTCATATTAACGAACTTCTGATAATGCATACTTATTTAGGATATAAACTCGTTTTGAGGTTCCATTGGATATGATATTGTTATTAACGTTAAACTTGAGTCATTTCATCAATGTTGAACTATGCTAATTATCCTTCGCTTCTTTGGAAAATTCATATGCAACTTACATATTCTCATTTGGATTTGAAAGATATCATAGCAGTTGTCCTTTAATTGCACGTCATATATAGATATAAGAAGATGTGGTATGAGTGCCATATTTGTCTCATTTCCTAATGTTTATTTGTATATGAGGGTATTTGATGAGGAATGTATAATATACACGGTTGTTACAGAAGTCCAAAAATATTATTTGAATTCGATATCTCGAATTGAAACCGTTATCACGAATGGTTTACTTCGCTATCACAGATTAAATTCGTTATCACGAGTTAATGGAATTAGTTATATCCGTTTTTGTAATTCATGATAACGGATTAAAATGTCATAACGACGAATTAAATTCGTTATCCCGAATGTGTGTTATTTGTTATCACCGATTTTTGTAATTCGTGATAACGGTTTTAAATCGTTATAACAAATTGTATAATTTGTGTAACAGATTAAATTCGTGATAAAGAATCGGTTTGCTTGGTAATAATTTTTTTTTGTTTGTTAAACGTGATTTCGAATTAAATTCGTTATCGCCGATTTTTATAATAAATTACAAAAACTGTCATAACAAATTTCAGAAAATTCGTTGACACGAATTTAAAAAGTAATAACGAATTCTTCAATTCGTGATAACGACTAAGATTTGTGATCTCGAATTCAAATGTGTATTTTTTGAGGTCATAAAAAGGCTCCAGTAGGTTGTCAGTTCTAAACGCGATCAATGTTGATTGCTGATTAAGAAGTGGGATGTCAACCTTAAATTGACATTGGTGATTTTAAGACGGATATGTGTATTCTCTTAAAGAGTATTTCCATTTTCAAATTCTACTGGAAATTAAACTTAGAAGAATCTATATCAATAACGTACAGAGTAAGATACTGTTTCATAATTCTTTATTTTCCATAAATCAAAATGTTAATCAGCGCTATTTGTTGCTGTTGTAGACAGTATGATACAAAATAACACAGGGGTAGAGCCACTTTCCCTTGTATTCAGTTCACTCACAAGGGTAATATTTTACAATTTATTCTATATATTTCGTTATTCTACCTAAAACTGAATATAAAAAAAGTCTAAAATCAATGATTGCCTTAATTTCAACAGAATTGTGGTAGTGGTTAACCGCCATGTATTTCTCCTTTATGTTTGGGTTTGCCAAAATCTCACAAAATCGAAGGTTTAAGCTTTAAGCGTTTATGATTTGGTGATATATCTAAAATGCAACCAATAAACTGTAAAAACCTCAAAGCGTAAGCAATGGGATGTGGTACTATGAATCTAAGTAAAGATGGAAAGACTTTAGGAAAATTGTCCTGGTATGAATTCATTTCAGGAAAAATAGGCCGTACCTCTTTCATACGATATTTGACAAATTTGATGTCGAAAGTGGTGCTAACCAACATGATTAAATCTAAATCTAAAAGACAATACGAAGCTTTCCTTTTCTTTTTACACAATTTTGGTGACAGTTACTACGTCCTTTAGGGATTCAGATGTTGACCAGATAACGCTATTTCCATATAAGATAATACCACATTTATAGAAAGTTATAACGTTTAGTCTGTGTATGAAACATGATTCTTTTACACAATTGTGCATGCAACTTTTTTAAATTCTTACAATAAGACTGAGGGTATACGTGAAATAGACAACAACCCAACAAAAAAGCTTCATATATTCGTAATATTGTGAACTCAGGAAAGTATATCGTCGACCTGGTTGATTGGTTGGTGTAAACATGACATTACATTACAAAATGGCCCTATGACGAATGAGATAACGCTGGGTCAGGGAAATCAAATGAGCTTTGCTCATCACTTTGCGTCCGTCCT